TTTTCTAAAAACTGCAATAAACGTATTTAATGATTAAATTAAAATTATGCTGTTAAAAATGACATGTTAAAATGATAAGTCAAAACTTCCTATCATGTATCAACATTTTTTAATCAAAATAATTTTTATTTTTTAAAGCACATTTTAACAAATTACTGCAAAAAGTTGTAGTGGACATTAAAGTAGAACCCTAAGGCTATTTTCTCCGCAAAAATCATCTCCCGGTTTTCACCCTAACAAAAGTTAACATGGGGTCTAAAATTTAACATGGGAATCCCTATGGCCAATTTTAAAAAAGATGCACTGTATATATTGAGAATATCATGTAGATGGTAAAACGCTAACTAAAATTTGTCTAATTATTTCCACTACCAATGGGATGACGTCATCTCCAAAATTTACACTAGTAATTTTTTTTTAATTTTGTAAAATAAGGTACTCATGCACTTGTGGTGTGTGAATTCGTATAGAATTGTCACCACAGAGATCCAGACTTTTGGAAAGATAAATCAAAAGTCTGGAACAATATTTTGCAATTTATCTTTGAAACTTTAAAACCGACTGCTCTGAAATCTTGCGAACCTTTTAAGATTATTGTAATTACAAAATTCATTCCTTTATCCCCTCCCAAAAAAATTGACCACGTCATCCCAAATTTTTGCGCAATAAATCTTCTTTGAAATATGCACAATATTAGGACTCTACTTGAGGTTTATCAATGCACCCATAGTTTTTAGAATTACATATACCTTGTATTTTATTCATTAAATCAGAATCACTGTTTTCATCAGTATTACACTGCACATCCAGATTGACAGATATACGTGTCCTTGCACGTTATCACAAAATTTTGTTAAGCGAAAACTCATTTGAAACCTACGCTCAGCACGCTTCTTTACATTTACTTTAATATTACATACATATCTCTATTTTAACTTATAAGGGTTCTTATAAAAAATAAATTTGCCTAATCAGTATAATTTTTCGATATAGCTGGAATTGTTTTATTATATTTCAGGGCCGAGGAAAGTTCTGTCGAGATAACCTTCAACCAATTTTTTTAGTGACTGCTTAACAACTAAAATGAAAGTATTATATAGTATATTTTTCAGTGAAAACAATTTTTTTGGAGAGAATTAATAAACAAATTAAAGTTTTAGAATCTTTAAATCCGTACGATTACAGTTTTAAATTTTAAAATACTCGTTTTTAACACAATTATAGAATTTCATTTTAAAAACCTTATTTCTTTATGAAAATCTTTATACGTAAAGATGGATGGGTTGCCACGGTATACAAAAAACTATATTGGGTTGCACATTTGACATATTATACGTCCATAATCCAAGAAAAATAGATAATCTCTGATGTAGTGCAAATTTTAAATGTGCTTTAATTATTATCGTGAAGGTAATAAAACATTAGCCAAATTTTCTCTATCCATCAACGTCATCTTAAAACATTGTTAGATACATTTCACTAAAAATTTACAACGGAGCAGGTTCTTCCATGTATAGCGTAATTACCTACCCACATTTAGAGACGTAAAGCTCTCAGTTTATCCTATCAAATTTACACGTTCCTTGAGAGATTGCAGAATACACAAAAACTGATGCACAAAATTAACTTTATTTTGTACCAGCTGTTAAATGTAGGCTGTTTGGCAGTATTTTTAGTAGATAACCAAGACTTTCATCTACCGGTGGATAAAGAAGTCTTTTATCTACTGTTTATTCTGTTGTCTCTTAAGGTTACAAAATGACACCAAATAAACAAAGTGAAACCAAGACAACACAAGTCATATTCGAATACAAAATTAAATAAAATATATATGGACGATAGAAAATCTTTATATACCTACTCGTGAAAAATAGTTTAGTCGTGAACGAACACTTTTCACTTGTAGCTAAAGATTCTTTTTATTTCTTGTATCTATATATATAAAAATGGATGTTGGTATATATATCTGTGATCGATAGACTCCGAAATCGTTTGACCGATCACCATGAAATTTGGCACATGTAAGTGGTTTTTCATGGAGAAGGTTTTTGTGGTATCCGCTTTGCTGTAACTAGCCACTAGATGGCGCTACAGCACATCAACTTCTACACCGTTCAACCGATTCTCATAAAAATTGGTACACGTTGGCATTTGACTATGGAGAATATTTTCGCCCTATCCATTTTGCTGTAACTCGCCACTAGATGGCGCTACAACACATCAACTTCTATACCAATCAACCGATCCTCATGAAAATTGATATACGTTGGTATTTGACCATGGAGAATATTTTCGCGTTATCGATTTTGCTGTAACTTGCCACTAGATGGCACTGCAGCACATCAACCTCTCTGTTAAAGTATTATGAACTTAGAGAATCAGCGGCACCCATATATCTAATACTACTATATTGCTATCAGGCCTCAAAAGAGTCCGAAAACACAACGGCAGAGCAATACATCGGATCTCTTTGTCTCTCTATAGTACCAAACAGTACTGCGCATATACTCGTACTTGCTTGATTTTTAGTCGATAACGTGACTAGATGTGTTTTGACATTTCATACGTTCGCTTCTATTTTGTGTACGTGCGCACAGACCCTCGGTACTTTTCTAGACAGAAAACAATATCTTCCGTCTCCCTTTGTCCGTGAACACCGTTTCTATGTTACTTCTGAAGAGTTAGCAAGTATTAGATATATGGCGGCACCAATGACAGCATTGTTTTCGTTGGTATTAGAACAAAAATCATATTGACCGCAAAAGAAAATCATTAGTGATGTTCACTGTCTACAATCCTCAGTAATAACAAAGAGTGAATTACTAGAGATTATTGAAAATGCCACCCAAAAAATCAAACTGATTCCGCGCATTCCAATGATTCCTACTGATTTGCCTTTTACATTCAAACGACTACAGTTTCCTGTGCGTCTTGCTTTCGCGATGGAAATCAACAAAGCCCAAGGGCAGTCTCTGCGCGTTGCCGGATTAAATTTAGGAAATCCATGTTTTTCGCATGGTCAACTGTATGTTGCTTGCTCCAGAGTAGGAATTCCAAAAACTCTGTACGTCTATACACCAAATCGAAAAACCAAAAATATTGTTTACCCACTAGCGTTACGATAGATCTTAGTATTGATTAAAATGTGTTCAAGTTGTTTCAGTTATATAGCGAATACAATAGTCAAAAATTTTGTTCATTCACGTGAATTACTAATACAAAAATGTGTATATTGTGTATGCTAATGAAAATAAATGGAATAGCATCAATATGAGTTATCTTATTATTCAGTTTTCTACAACGCATTCTGCGCTCCAGACCATACATATATACAAAGTAAATATATACACAAGCAGGACAACGTCTGCCGGGTTCCACTAGTATACATATAATAAATAACCAAAATTTCTTAATTTTATTCTGTATAAAACTTACGGCGCCAATTTTAAGGCAATTTTTATGATAGAATGCTTTTTCGTCCAGTGGTTTTATTGTAAGCACGGAAGAAGTTTATAGATTTTCTGTATCCAAATATGAATCTCAAGCATTATATTAATTTCTTCAGGTTCCAAAGAACAAAAATAACTTTAAAAAGAGCAATAGACACAATCCATAGAACGAATGTGATATCACAATATCAAATTTAGATTTTAATTTGTGTGTTTTCGTATTTTAAATTAATAATTTAATGTAACTTTCTGCATTATAATAGAAAAAAAAACATTGTTTTTGGTTTCTCAGAGGAGGAAGAGAGCTTTTTTTTTAAAAAAAAAGGGAAGAAAACCTTACAAAAATGTAACTTTGAAATATTTTTCATTCTCGTCTACAGGATTTCTACGATTCATGCTTTTAAAAATTTTATTCTTGTACTTTTGTTATAAGGGAAGCAAATGAAAACGGCCTCTTTAATAATGTTGTAAAATATTTATCTAAGCAAATTCAGGAAAGAAGTAATATAATGGTTGGCTACTGTCGTGTGTTGGATTGACGCCTTTGACAATGGTGAATTTTTCCAATCCAGAGCGTGTCGACATGGTAATACTTTATGGTGTAGCTGATGTAAGCGCCAGGTTGGCACGCGAATTGTGGATAGAGCGATTTCCAAATCATGCGATTCCATGTGCGCGAACATTTACATCAGTGGTACAGTATCTCCAAGATTATGGTACGTTAAAGCCTCAGACTCACGATAGGACGGAAAGATAGATAGATAGATATATTTGTGCAATATACAAAGCATTTACACAGGTCAAAGAGCAAACAAAAAAAATATAATAAAATACAAAACATAACCAGTAAAATGTCGTACAAGTACGATTCAACACTAGAAAAACAACAGTCCATGGACTGATGTAAACTACTCACAATGTACATATTAAAACTTATACTCTAGGAATTCATTTGTACTATAAAAGGCATGACGCAGGAGAAGTTTCTTTACCTTTATTTTAAAAGCAGAGCCACATAAAGTTCTGTAGCGCTGGGGTAGGTGATTGTATAAGGATATGTTAATGGACAAATTTTTTGTCTTCGTCAATCTAAAACGTCTTGTTCTTACCAAATCAGCTGTTCGGGTATTATATTTATGAATATGATACTGATGAATCATATCACTACGATTTGAGTGAATTTCTATTGCCGTGAAATATATAAAAATGCATGGAGGGGTCAATATATTATTCTCAATAAAAAAAAGACGACAGTGCTCGCGACAACCCAAACCCAGCATCACACGAAGGGCCCTCTTTTGTAAGCGGAATATAGTAATAGATAATGGCGAGTTTCCCCATAAAACAATAGCATAAGACATATTTGAATGGAAAAGCGCATAATAGATAGACTTAAGTGCTCCAAAATTAACGATTTCTTTCATTTTTCTTAAAAGAAATATAGTGGAGGAAAGTTTACTGGCCAGACATTTGATATGGTCACACCAGGACAGGTTTGTATCAATTGATAAACCTAGTAATTTTACTGTGTCAGAGTTCCCTACGAGGTTGCTATTGGATGATATTTAAGATTTCTTGTGTTTTATTTTTATTAAGTTTTAGAGAGTTAGAGGCAAACCAGATGTCTGCATATTTTTGCGCTGTTTCGGCTTTGTTTAGTAAACTGTTAATACAACGATCTGACGTGATTAGTGAGGTATCATCGGCGTATAGCACACAATTTGCTTTCTTGTTTATAAAATTATAGAAATCGTTTGTATAAATAATAAAAAGCAGGGGCCCTAAAACGGACCCTTGCGGAACACCATGTTTTACTGTTGTAAACGCGGATTGCATGTTATTCACTGCCGAACATTGCTTTCTATTAGATAAATACGAAGAAAAGAGCTTGTGTGGAATGCCTCTAACACCATAGAATTCCAGTTTTGTCATTAGCGTGGTATGACTGACACAGTCAAAGGCTTTGCTTAGATCGCAAAGTGTGACCATATTAATTTCACTATTTTCTAAACCGTCGACTACAAGTTCCATAACTCGTAATAAGGCCTGCGTTGTTGCTTTGCCTGATCTGAAGCCAAATTGTGCTTCGTTGATTACGCGAAATTTCTCAAAATATTTGGTCAGTCGTGATTTAATTAGTATTTCTAAAACTTTGCCAAATATTGGGATAATGATAATGGGTCTATAATTGTCAAGCAGAGCCGCATCGCCCTTTTTCTGGATAGGTATAATTTTGCTAAATTTCAAGCTGTCAGGAAACACCCCACTTCCAAGACATTCGTTAAAAAAGTTAGTCAGAGGTGTTAATATTAAACTCACGGTCTCTTTTAGAATTTTAGAATTGATACCGTATACGTCGGTGCAGTTGGAGTTCTTTAGGTTGTTGATAATATTTGAAATTTCGTTATCACATGTAGGCTCTAAGAAAAAATTATTACAAATTTTAGGCATGGTATTCAACAAAATATCCGGTGTACGTACGTCAGTTTTGTCGATCCCTTTTAGAATTTCATCAGCTATATTGGAAAAATAACTGTTAAATTCATTAGCGTCAAATTTTGTGTTTTTCTGATTGGAGTTATTTTTATTTTTATTTCGCAAGCAGTTGATAAATCGCCAGCTGTCTTTGGGAATATTATCAGACTGAGCAATGTACGAGCTGTATGCGTTTTGTTTAGCATTCATTATGGATTTTTTATAAAGGGATCTTGCTTGTTGGTATGCTTTTTTATCACTAAGGTCTTGGGTACAGTCAGAAATTATTTTGATCGCAGCAATTGAATCCCTCATACGTCGCAAGTCGTCGTTAAACCAGCTGATGGTACATTTGTTGGATATGATACGTTTTTTTAGCGGAAAACAGAGTTTGATCAATCGCTGATATGTTGTAACTAGGTATGTAGCAAAAGTGTTAACATCACAATTGGTTTGCATAGATAACCAATCCACGGATATGAGATGATCACGTAATTTGCTTAGACCCATATCATTTACTGGTCTGCTAAAATAATAATTGTTACGGACGATATTACTGACTGCGTGAAGACAAATATATTGACCACTGTGATCAGATAATCCTGGTTCCAATATTCCAAACGAGCACGAATCATCACTCAAATCGGTGATAATATTGTCAACGGTGGTTGCTGTCCATTTAGAAACTCTAGTAGGATCCATTATTTTAGCTTTTAGTCCAAATGATTCGGCAAGATCAAGTAAGGCGTGAATTTCGGCCGATTTAATTAGAATGTCCTTAATGAAATCACCAATCAGAACTAAATAATTAGTTCTTGTAGCTAATGAACTTAGTATTTCTTCAAGTTTGTCTAAGAGTATTTGAAAATGACGTGAAGTTGATGGTCTGTAAACTGTGATAATAATTGTTTTAGCTCGAGGGACCTCGACCCCACAGAACTCTGCATGCATTTCGACACAGTATGGATCTAAACAGATGGGTATGCAAGTTAAGCTTTTATGAACATATATGGAAACTCCTCCATGCAATCTTACTTTTCTACAATAAAACGATATTAGTTGGTACTCACTAAAGGTTATCATCTTGAGTATATCCCTATTTACAATCCAATGTTCTGAAAAACACAGAATTTGAAATTTAAATTTTTCACAAAATAATGTAACTTCGTCGATTTTATTGGTGAGGCACTGGATGTTGATGTGAAAAATTGAGAGCAGACTACGCTCAATCATACTTAACAGGCCCCTTTCCGTATTGAAATTAGTTGTTTGAAATGGTTTGGGGTTGATGTTTGTTCCGAAAAAAATTGAATCGGCTGATAGACATCCCCACTGGCCAGAAGTTAGCTGAATACAGAATATCTTTGAGATCCATGTCGGCCCCAATTTTAAACGACCCATTCCTCTGCGTATCATGTGATAATGACTCGATAATAAATTCCTTATTTGGACATTTATTTTTAAGAAACTTGTCGACGTCTTCCACTTTGGTGTTAGCTCGTACCTACTCTTCCTAGATGCAACCAAATTCTTCTTGCTGCCCCAGCAAAATTCAAGTCGGCATCCCCGTTCCCAATAATTGCATTTTTTTGTTTTTTCTTGACGATAGACTGTCGCTGCTGTGTATTTTTCTGACGCTCCGGTATCTTCACCTCTAATCGTCTTTTTTTCTTATCGATTTTTTGGTTGGATACAATGATAGTATTTTGATTATTGGCCTCACTTTTATCTTCGATCGCCGACTTAAAGGAATCATTGAGTAAATCATCCTGAAGATGCTCGAAGGATTCTTCATCCCTGTCTTAAGGGGGTTCAAGGTACCGTCATTGACGTCCGTTAAAAATCTTACTTGTTCCTTTAAGTCGGATACTTCTTTAAGTAGGCACTGGATATTTTCTACAAGCTCATTTGTTCTCGTTTTTACTATTTCCTCGATGATTTCACGGAGATTTTCTACACTTAATGATGTCACCAAGCAAGAATCATTGATTTGCGAGTTTTTAGAGCGAGTATTTTTTGTCATAATTGTTCAGATTAAATACCGCGTGCACGTCTAGACTGTACGGCGATTGACCGGCGAATGCGAATACTGCAAACTGAAGAACAAATTTTGGAACGCGTCGAAGAACAGCACGACATCAGCCTTCGCCGGCTTGCAGCTGAAGTTGGAGTTTTACGGTTTGTAGTGCATCGTACATTAAAAAAACAAGGCCTATATCCATACCACGTTCAAAAAGTGCAAGCTTTGGAGCCCGCTGATTTTCCACGTTGTGTAATTTACTGCGAATGGTTGTTGCAACAATGTCGTGAACGCCCTAAATTTTTAAATTGCATTCTGTTTACAGATTAAGCAGCCTCAACATTCACATTTGATCCGATCAAAACCACACGCTCGTCAAGAAGTACGATTTCAACGACTGTTTTCCATAAACGTGTGGGCTGGTATCGTAAATGACCGCTTAGGTGGACCTATGTTTTACCAAACAGACTAAACGGGGCACAGTGGCTTGAGTTTTTAAACAATGTGTTGGAATAGCAGCTAGATGTGGAAGTGCATCTAGGTGAACGAGTTTGCATGTGGTACTACGAGCCTAACAACTATATATTGGGACAGTTTCTGAAAAAAATCCGATACATATTTTTTATATCACTTCTTAGTTCGTTTGGACTAAATGCAAATTTTGCATGGGCATCTATTTCAGCATAGGGTGAGGTATTTTGCAAATTAATAAATTTTCTTATAACGCAAAAATTATCAGTTATAATATATTAAGTGCATCGCAATGTTATCGATAATTTTGAGCAACAATAACTCGAATGCTTGTTGCATTGAAAACGCACGAGTGCTTTAGCACGAGTGCATTTTTCTTAGGCAACAAGCATGAGAGATTATTGTTGTTCAAAATTATCGATTTCATTGTGATGCACGCAATATATTCAACAGATTATTGCAAGAACAAACATTTTAAAAATAATTTTATAATGATTTACGAAGTAGTTTGGTGTGCGATACTATGGCGACGCAAGTAAATAAGAACAGCCATTTTGCAAAATTTGTGTGGGTTTAAAAAACCATGTCCAATTTTCGTTTTGGTCGTAACACGCCAAAAGAAATTGATGATTCTATTACAAACATTACGCCGCTAAATACGAAGAACTCACGAAATTCAATCTGGAGGCAATTTGAGAAGTTTTGCGGTGAACGCAAATATGTTTTTGATGGAAACACTTCCACGGAAAAACTAGCATTCATCCTCAAAGATTGGGGGTACAATATGAAAAAAGTCGATGGTAATGACTACAAAGAAGCAGTAATAAAAACGATGTGGAATGTAACGGCAAAGCAGTTGCAAGAACTGTATTTCAATAAATTTGGTATAAAGTTTGATCCTTTTGTTGACCTGGAATTCAAGGGTAGTAGAAATGCACGCGACGCAAAACGCCGGAACCTACAAATACAACCGGAAAAACGCAAAACTAGTTCCTCAATTTTGACTCTAGAAGAATACAACAAGATTCTAAAGATTTATAACGAAGACACGCCAGATGGTTTACAGAAAATGTTTTTTTATGTGGCTGGATTAGAATTAGCTTGGAGGGGATGTGAAGGTGTTAACGTTACTATCAAACATTTTAAGGAAGAAAGTGATAATTGTGGTTTGCCTACGGGGCGAATAGAATACAATTGTATTTTTTCCAAAACAGCTCAAGGAGGTAGCCATAAATTAACAGACAGCAAATGGCTTGCAACAAACACCACAGATCCTAGAATTTGCCCTGTTAGGTAATTAAATACTGTTTCAAATACAAAATAATAATTATTTTATTATTTAAGGCTCTACAAAAAAATGCTGAGCAAGAGAGGTAAACATATAACCACCGATCGTTTATTTTTAACGCCAAATCCTGCATGGAGAGAACCTAGTTCTGTAGGATGGTTCAAAAATTCACCCGTTGGAAGGAATGAAATGGGGAAATGGACAAGAACCGCCGCAGAAGAAATAGGCATCGACATAAAGAAAAAGAAGATTAGTAATCATTCATTACGGTCAACTGCAGTGTCGCAACTTGCAAAAGCGGGAGTCGGTGAAGAACAGCTTATAAAGATTACCGGTCATGCCAATACTTTCTCCATCAAACCATACCTTCAGCTCGATGGAGATCATCATTATCAAATGATTGACAAATTACGCGCCAACTCAACGGCTATGGAAGAGTCTAATAACAAATCCACAAATTGCGCACCGTCTGCTTTGGTACAAATGTCTAAAAATATAGTTACTACTTCACCAAGCACACAAACCCCTGTAAATTACTACAACTGTACCATAATTAATTACAATTCTTAGTTTCATAATTAAATATTTGGTTAGTAACCTCTTGTTTTTTTTTGCAATTAACTGGTACTTGCTTATCTTATAGTTGGCACATCTGGCTAGTGATAATTATCGGTAGTGGTAATTGCACAGTGTGCAATTATCACGTAATTGTATGCTGATTGGTTGAATTTACAAATATTGACGCGTTTGATTGGTCAGTTGACATCATGTGACATGTGAGTGCAATAATCACCAAAATAAATAATGTGCCATTTTTGCTGACATTTAAGTGTTGGGACACCCGAGAAAATTTGCTAAGTATACCATGGAAGTACAAACGTACTGGCTGGTAAATGCTGTCATTAATATATGGATCGCAGTATTTCATGCTAGTGTTGGTTTTATTTAGAAAAACATAGTTACGGTGTGCTAAATTAAGTAAAAGTTCTGAAAATAATAATTTCGGAGTACTGCAAGGGAAAATCGATTAGGAAATGTACAGATTTGTTCCAAATAGCTTAGTCGTCGATGGAAAACCTCGTAAAATATTACGCAGACAGAGGTACCATAGAAATAAAAGGTAAAATTCCCGGTAGGCCACCACTTGTGAAACCGCATGATCAACGACAACTAATGAAAATTTATAAAGGTAGACGAAGAAGTACTTCAAGAGAAATTACTACCCGTTGGAATAGCGATAACCAACTAAATTTTTCAAGAGAATATTGTCGCGAATGGATACACAAATAATATCAGGCCTTAGTTTTTCCATTCTAAATCTTAAATAAAGTTATCTTTGAGGGACTTTATTATTATTTATTTATATTATTTTAGGCTAAAGTAAAACACCATAATTAGCAACTGCCCACAAGAAAAATCGGTTAATATGAGCAAAATAAAAATTGGAGAAAAGTAATATCCAACGCTGAGTCCAAATTTGATGGCTAGGTGAGATAATAGTCGCAAAAGAGTTATTAAAACAAAATAGTTATTTTTGATTCTATAGAATGCAAGTGAATTTCGCAATCGAGTATAAAACAATGTTTTTTCGAAAATTGCACAGCTCCACTTTAGCGGAAACTCAAAAAAAAATTACGGGAATTCAATAAAATTAATGCAAAGAAATCAAATCAAGTAAATTTTTGAATCAAGATGATCCATAGCAACGTAGCAAACAATAAAAACCAGTTCTTTTACGTTCTAGAACGAAAAACTCTGACGTTCTAGAACGATAAAGTGTTTCGTGGTGATGTGACAAAAAAGAATCACTTTGCCCACTAAAAATTTATCGAAAATGTCAACATTTGATGACAGTTTTCAAAAAAAGGAATTTTAATATGGATTATCTCAAACAAACAGTCAAGTTTACAAACGGAAACATGGTTTGGGGGTACATGTCCACTAACGGAATTTAAAGGCCAATTAACAAAGTTCATTCAAGGGAAATTATAAATGCAAACAAACATCAAGAGACTTTGTAAAACAATATTAACAACTACTAAAGCAGTCTATCCTGTTGGTGTTTATATTTTTCAACGCGATGATTCTACTACTACAACACTTATTACAAAGAATAATAATATAAATGTACTGTCCTGACCATCGAATAACCCAGATCTCAATCTAGTAGAGAAGGTATGGCGTGAAATAAAAAATATTTGGAAAATCATTTGTGTCAAGCGATTGCCAATCTTCAACAAGAAGTGGAGTAGGGTAATAACTCCTGTGTATTGCAGAAAATTAGTCGAAAGTATGACGGCAAGAATTCCTGCAATTATTAAGGCAAAAGGAGATGTGACTAATTACTGAATTTGCATTGTCCCAATATTTATGTGTCACAAAATGTTAGGTTGTTTTAGAGAGTTTAATGTCACTGTTTGAGCTAGAAATCAGTTTTTGTTGTGCTGTAAACATTAACACTTGAAAAATGAATTACATTTTTGTTAAAAAGTTTGGTGATTTTTTATAAAAATTTATTGTTCTCCCAATATTCAGTTGTTAGGGCTGGTAGCATGATGGAGCACCACCACATTTTGCTAGACCAGTAACTAACGGCCCAGTAGCTTCGCCTCCGCGTTCATCAGATCTCAATCCGTGTGATTTTTGTATGTGGAGTTGGATAAAACAGTTAGTTTATGGAAATCAACAGTGACCAGAAACTATCGAAGAGCTTCAACGAGTGGAAGTGGCAGTTGCTACAGTTCGTGGAATTCCCGGAATTTTTTGCGTATCCGTGCAAACATGTTGCTGAAGCCTGTATTGCTGGTCAAGGACAACATTTTCAACATTTATTCTAAAAATATGGAATAATTGTGGCATGGACTAAACATACGTTAGAATAAAAAGTTGATCACTATGAAGCATTCCCAAAAATTGGTCTTTCTCAAGACCACCATTTGTTTCTACAATGAATAATTTTTCGCACTAATGAATGAGTGCATGAATCAACGAATGATAAACAGCAAAATCCCGGTTTTAGTTTTAATTGAAACTGAAAGTGCTTACATCGTTTTTATTGGAACGTTTTTCCACCTACCTTTTAAAAGGTGGATCAGTGGCATCGCATCAATGGTGGTTAATGGGAGTTTTGCCCCATTCGACTTTTAATTTGTTTTTTCTATATTTCCACATTACTACGGTATGTGATGATATGATTACAATTATTTCTTATATGTCGAAATCACTCTGTATTTGCACTTATCGTTTTAGGAATTTATCTAGTATTTAATTTTCAGACTGAGTATTTTTTTATACGCAGTGTATAGAGTATGTATATATTTCATTGAGTAATTAAATAACATACGAGTATACAGTGAATGTGTACTGTGCATTTAGTTACAATATTCAGCATTTAATTTGTCGGGGTAAAGAAACAGAAAAATATGAAGATGGAAATAAATAGCAAAAGTAAAATAATAATAATAACAATAACACTGGTCTACAAATACATTTTTTTGTAGTCATCAGAAATGAAAATGCGCATTCCTATTTTAGTTTTTTCTGTTGATTACGAATTTGCTTTTAGATTTTTAGCACAATATTTTAAACCAGAAAAATAAAAAAAAGTTATTTACGCGAAATAAATCATGGTTATCTTCCCAGAGAACTAAAATTCAATTAGTCAGTCAAAAGTTACCCATAAATTAAACGAAAATTTCATGTAAGTCTTTGACATGGTCACATTTTTTTCAAAAATGTCCCGATTCGAGTATTTCCAAATCACGAATGCGTATTACTGGAGTCGATTATCTCGATAATGTGACGTCCTAGAAAAAACTAATGCTCGATTTATAATCATGCTGATTCCAATTTAGAACAGTTCACCTATTTTTTTTTGATGATTTTCGATCGATCATTGCAATTAACGATAAGGAAACAGAAAAAATAAACAACACAATAAACTACAAGGGAGAAGAGATGGAAATGGTGTCGAGATACGAATATGTAGGAACACTGATAACCAATGCTGAAACGATAGATGAAGGTAGAATGTAGCCAAGAGAATGATAATAATCTTTACGCATTGACAAGATACATAATAAAGAGGAAGAAAGAAATTAACAAAAGAAGAAAATTACAAATATAATACGTAAATCCTTTACATTACCAACGCTAATATATGTCAGCGAAACCTGCCTAAAACAAACGAAACATAAAAGTGATATAAACGCTGAAGAAATGAAGTGCATGATTACTTGATTAGCCTAACTGAGAAAATAAAAATAAAAGTGGAATGATAAGAAAAGAGTTAGAACAGGAATCAGTAATGAAAACGATTGAAAACAAACAATTGAGATGGTAAGGACACATTAGCAAAATTAGCAAAAAAATTACAAAGAAGAGAAAAGAAAAGCCGATGGAGACTTGGTTCTAGCAAATGCGGGAGATTGGAGGAAATTGAAGGTAAACGATATGTATTGCGAGTTGGAAAGATACTAAAGAGACATCGGAAAGGAAGAAGTTGTATACATTTATTACAACTGTGAAAATATCTTGTCATTGAAGAATTTGTTATATTTTATTATTCTTTTTTTTGTGTCAAGTTAATTATTTTTTTGTTGCTCAAAATTTTTGAAAAAGGACATAATCTGCTACTGTTATTTTTATGTAGCTGTATTATACTTAACACCAAAACTCTGATCGTGACAATCCTTTGTCGCTCACCTTACCTGTGACTAGCAAATCTCTACCACGTTAAGCTCTGGTGGTTTCCACATGTAGGTATGTACGAGCACAGCGGCATTTAGGCTTTCATCTCTTGTTTCATTAAAGAAATTCTAACGGCCCACGAGCACATCCGCCGTTGTGAAAAATTCTTCATCTCGCTTCGGCGGCAGGCCGCGGCCGCCCCGAGCCCGCTGTCACCAGCAGCACCTCCTCGTCCGGCGGCCCGCGCAAGCCTGCCACCGCTCCGCCATGGCAGCGTGCGGCACAGTCCGTGCCAGGTCGTCAAGCACCCTCGTTCGCGCGCTCTGCTCGTTCCGGCAAACCGACACCTGTTACGAAGTGCGCCGACGGCGATGGCGGCCACGTGAACGCGATGCCATGACAGCAAAGACCCGCTCTCGCAAAATGCTGTCGTCGGTGGTGTGGTTCGCGGTCTCGCTCAGTGCTTCCGCGTCGGCCTACTCCTGGCCTAGCGAAGAGACAACGACGCGCCCGCCGCAGTCCAGAGACTTTCACAGCGACCCGCTCGTGGTGGAGACGACCAGCGGCTTGATCCGGGGCCGCTCGAAGACGGTGCTGGGCCGCGAGGTGCACGTCTTCACGGGTATACCTTTCGCCAAGCCGCCCATCGAGCAGCTGAGGTTCAGGAAGCCGGTGCCCATCGACCCCTGGCACGGGATCCTGGATGCCACCAAACTCCCCAACTCTTGCTACCAGGTCCTCATTTTGGGGTTTCGTGACGGTTTTGTGCTCGCCTGTTGTGTGGTGTTTTGTGTCTTTTTTGCATAATGCGTCTGCAATGAGTTTCTGGATAGAGTTGTTTTTTATTTGCTTTACAAGTTGCTCTTGGTCGTAGCAGTTTGTTGTAGTAAACGACGAAGTGAAAAATTGCAAGCGGTATAATAGTTACATGTCTTCATTTACGCTTTCGTAGTATGTTGTTTTATGTAGAGTTTGAGGAACGATGGGATCAAAATTAGCAAGAGGTTGTAGATGTTGTTATTACTATTTTTGGTTCTATAAGTAATTGTACGTAATTCTAATCAATATTAGATAACCGTTTTTGGTGAAAAATGGGTGATTTTAACGGACGGTTAAGCATGGCACGTTAAATGTTCGGTGGATGAAAAACGAGAGATTTTCAAAAATATTGGTTTGTTTTATTTGCTTAATTTGATATTAGAAATCTATGGTATGTTTATCTGTATGTTTCACATAATAGTCATATTCAGTAAGGTAATGTCATTTACAAGTTCTTTAACTTTCCTGGGGACAATGTCACTGTCAAATGCTTTCAAGCATGCGTCACATAACCAATAAGTGTGAAGGTACCGATCAAGATAATAATCATAAGAGGGAGACCGAGATTGGTTATTACAGTTTCGAAATAACACTAATTTTAAACATGTAAAAGCATTCAAACATCGTTTTTATAACGATATGATTCAAAAAAATGTTTTGAATTTCTTATTTTGATATATAACACGTATTACAATTTCTGAATCAAAAGTTAACTGTGGCCAAAAATTTCCATAACGAAAAATCCTTTCAAAAAGTTGTTGCTTTTGTACTCTAAATATAAGTTATTTTTTTGTAATGGTTGTGCTGATTAGGCAAATCATCTATTGAGCAAACATGGGTATACTGGCGACCGTTTGCGTTAAAAACTTGTGTGGGGTAGGTTGTTTTGACATAACTGATAGTTACCTTATTTTTCAACAATTTTAATAGTATTTTGTATTATAAATGAGAGAAACGCTATATTATAAGGGACATGAGGGCGTTAGCGCGAGTGATACTAATCTCACGAGATTGTAATGGCATTTCTCTTACGTATGATATACGACGTTTTATCTTACAGTAGCAGCTTTTACAAAAATGTACAGAAAATAATAAGATGACAATTTGTTTGACAATTACATGCACATCAAACTTTGATCAGCTTTGATAGTAAACGCCACCTTTACTCAAAAAGAAAAAAAATAAATACCCGTGTATTTTCAAATAAAATGTATATCGACTAATATTCTCGCGATCTCTAATTAAACATAATCTCTTTGAGCTTCAAATCTGTGAGAAAACCCCATTGTGTGAACATCGTTTGATCTGGTTCATTTAATATATATAACTCAAAAAATAATTCATTAGGAATTTGTATTTGCATTATTTATACCATCCATATTTAATGGTAGAAATGGAGAAAATGACGATATGGATTTATATTCTGGTGGGAATTTAGAATTGATACCAGTATTTTACTCTTTTTTTTTGATAACCTAAAAGTTAAAAATCATTGGAATTTTTAGCAAAAATCCAACACAGTGCTCTCTGTTATGGTTAGTAGGTCATACAAAGCTTTGTCTTCTGTCATGTTATTGAATCTCAAGCTAAATATGAAAACAACCACGACAGGGAATTTTTTAATCTTGTTGCTTTTATTGTATTATTGTCATCTGGACAATTGTCTGAAAACTAACCTCTTTCAGAAACAAGTAATTGGACATTTTTCATAATCATTCAATTCCCTGATGGAGATTTTGTTTAAATTGTTTTTAAAATCCAATAATAGTTTAGATTTATCTGTAGCTAAAAATTTCGTGTTGTATAAAGAAAAAAGTAAAAAATCTTTTCGACATCATTTTCACTTTTCGAAAATGAAAAAAAATACCAGAGAAGACGGATAAGTTTGTAATTTCAGCAAAATTACCAAATATTTTGTATTTTGTTATGTATTTATGTATTTTGTCGATGCTGATGTTTAAATTTTAATACAAATTTTCATATTTGCTGCAATCTACTAATAAAATTGTCAGAGTGTTTTACCTTGTTATAAAACGCTATATGTTAGACGTTCACTTTGTTTTTCTAGTATACCATTCCTAGCTTTCTACCTAAGTACAATGCCTAGACAACCTAATAAACTTAATAGTAATATTTCAGAAAAATATTGTCAATTTAATCTCGAAGAATATATTTTCCTCACTAATAGCAATGTTTCTGTGGTTTATTAGGTTCTTAATGCGAGCATAAAAATGAATAAAAAAGAAAACATGCCGCACAGTCTCATTTATTTCACGAGAAAATAGAAACATACTGTAACGATAATTAATTTTGAAACATAAATTTGATGATGTTTATGACCAAACGTTACTTATGCCAGATTTTGATATTTATGCTTTAAAAATCAAAGTTAAAAACAGAAATGCAACCAATTTTAAACTATGTTCATAAAGTATGTAGCCTTCGATAGCAATAGTTAATTAATGTACAATTAGAATTGAGGGAAAAAGAATAGTCGTTAGTACTAATGCTAGACACTACTGCTAAAATCGGGTACCTTATTATCGTGTTGCAAAAATTATTTTGTGCATTTGTTAGTCAAAATTCTATTATATAATAATTAATCTGTTGCTACATTAACCAGAACACTAATGTTGTATTAGAGTTTTTGATAATGTTGTTATTTGGTAATATCTCATGGGTAATTTAAATTTTATGAGCGTCGGTCTTACAACTATAAGCGATATTCTTGAAATTTAAAAAACGTGAAGGGCAATCTTGAGGTAGGAATATAAGAATGTGGTATCAATCTCTACTAAAATCAGTTTAATTAATTGAATCTATTTTCATAGACTTTTATGCAATACAGCATTTTTTTTGTTCGAAAATAGTCGTATGTCAAGCAAAAGCCGAATGTTTTGCTAGAGTATTCGCATGTAATTCTGTTTAACTTTTAATTCACTTATTTGTGTTGTTTCTAGTCTAATTTTTCGTTTTTTATGTTGTCAGTATAGAAAGGTTTTGGCTATTGCTTTTGAATGCGGGTAATTACAGTGTGTTTTAATATAAAGCACTATTATTGTATAAATAACATTCTGAGGTAAGACTGAACAATTTCCATAAACCACAGGCATGTGTGAATCATTACCGAGACATACAAATGGTACATACATGGTATATGGTATGCGTATATCTCAACTGACCTTTGTATTATGCAGAACTCAAATGTGTTCAATTAATGAAAAAAGTTGGTCTAAAGCTATTTATACAGAATTTCCCTTGTGTTTAAAGTTCAAACGAACAGATAGTTTCTTCAAAAACTTATAAAATGTAATTTTACGTAGGTTATTTTTTTATGATAAACACCATATATAAGTTAATAAAACATAGGCATGGACTGTGAAAATACAGGTAAAGAAGCATGCTATGCGTATATTTAAGTGAGTTTTTCCATAACAAAATTTTGTGATGATGTCATCAATATTTTCGCAAGGACACGTATATCAATTTAGGTAGGTGCAGGTAATAATAATATTAACAGTGATATATACTCAAATTTTCAGGAAAATGGGGTGAACCGTTTTGTTTTGATTTGATCAATAAAATATATATTCTCAATAATTAATTTTTTTCAGACACCCTGTTTAAATAATGCCAAACTATGAGTGCATTCATAGACCAGAAGTAGTTGTAGAATGATAATATTTTGCATATGTTTGCATAGGTAGGATTTTTTCTCAAAATTTTGATATGACGTCATCAATTTTTTTGGAGGTAATAAATAACCTTAAAACGTTTGTAAGACTTCAGTTTGCAGTTTCGAAGTTAAATTGCAAAATGAGCTGCACAATTTTGATTTTTGTTTTCAAAAATCTAGATCTGTAAGGGAAAAGTTCAATACGGTTTCATAAACCACAAGTGCAAAAGTACATTATTTTATATTTACTATTGTAAATTGTGGAGATGACGTGATCCCATACGTATAACATTCAACACAATCGGTCCAGTAGTTTCAGAGATTACTTGTTTAATAAAAACTAACAGAGATAGGCAACGGACAGACGGAAACGTAAAACCTACTTTTTCGTACTTTCGGGATCATGAAAAGTAGTCTAAAAAAGTTCAGTTATCTAGTTACTATTTGTATGAAGCTTATTTCAGAAGAGTAACATGAAAATGTGTTCTTATTGCAGTTTTGCATTGGAGTAAGTCTAGTTTCAAAAAGTTACAATAAACTTAATGTTCAATATACATTTGACCTCAAGTTCTCAACTTGGCAGTGAACGAATGAGTTGCCCTTTATATTGTCTGTTACTGCAACAGCGATAAAAAAGGCTGCTGAGGTCTAGCGGACAGAAGAGGAAAATTGTTGTTCTTGGCACGTTATAGCAACCACCGATTTTATAATTTACTTTGAAAGAACCTTGAGTTATCAATCATGGAATTTAAATTAAGATAATCAATGAATCAAGTACCCATTTTGGTACCAAATTACATGATTCTAAGTACATAGTTATCACTTTATCAGTTATAGTTAACTGCATGTAGTTATGTATTTTCGGTTATGAACTAGTTAACACTGAGCATATTTTATTTAGGATATTTTTGTAACTACTAAATTTGATAACATTATTATGAGGGGTTTTATGAATAGTAATAGGGTTAGTGATGATTGTAAAGTGACTGGTTAGCCCCCAGTGAAAATATATTAGCTGTATTTAAAAGAAGTGAGATCCACAGAAAATAAATGTTAATAAATTATTTACAAAGTAGAAAAAGATGACACATAAACTTACTAAAAAAATTACAGTGACAATGATATTGATAGGCAAGTCGTACGATATTCATTTCATGGCACACTAAAATTTGAAAACAGTGTTTCTGTTAGGATTTTTTCTTGAACTACTACAATGTCATTAAGGGTCTGTTTACATAGC